GATGTAATTACTGTTCAGTTTCTTGCACAGACCGATCGTTTCGTGTCTTTACACATCAATATATCATCACGAGACGCAGGGTTTAATTTGGTTTTGTTTGTGTATGTTTATTTTTATCTCTCAAAGCCGTGATTCCCATTCACTTCCATTATATGACTGACAGACTGCAACGGTTTGTGTTAAAAATCTTCGTTTGTGTTCTACTGAAGAAACAAAGTCACCTACATCTTGGATGCCCTGGGGGTAAGCAGATAAACATCAAATTTTCATTTTTGGGTGAACTATCCCTTTAAATCATCATTGAAAACGTATCTCTTTTCTCAGGCCTATTTATAATTGTTGGATATGTTGGTTTTAGTGAGATAAATTCTTATTCCTGATTTTTATTCAGTTTTATGGGTTAAGTTGTTGATTTAATTTTTTAACTTTGTATTTTTATTTTTTTATCATTGTATTGTGCTACTGTGAAGCACCGTGGTCAGCATTAATGTTGTTTAAAGGTGCTATATAAATAAAAATGACCTTGACCTATAATTTTTAGAATTTTTACAGAAAGACTGTAAAGATGCTAAAAACCTGTTAATTGTTAACTTAAGTTACCTTACACCATATATGGTGAAAAACTGTATATGTGTAAATGGACAAAAAAGGACATTCCCATAAGTCTCTGCATGACACATCATACGATTATATTTTGCATATGATTTTTTTCTTCTCATTTTTGTCATCAGTAATGTACATTAGGGATGGCTGCAATATAACAAAGAGTGAAAAATTTAAGGGGGTCTGAATACTTTCCGTACCCACTGTATGTTGATAGTAAGTTTGTAAATAAACATATCACTTCTAACAGAATTGATAGTAATAAACTTTATGAAATCTAAAAAAAATATACAGAAAAAATATTTTTGTTTTTTGTTTTTTTAAATTGAAGACATCTCATACTTCAACAAAAATAAAACTGATATTAAAATGAATAATATACACTGCCATTCAAAAGTGTAGGGTGACTTTTTTTTTAAATTCATACTTTATTTTCATCAAAGACAGATTTACACTTCAAAAGTGACAAAGACATTTATTACAAAAGTCTTCAGATGTTCTTTCAAATAAATGCTGTCATTTTGAACTTTCTAAGAACCTAAGAATTTCATCTAAGAATCCTGAACAAAATGAATCTCGTTTTCACAGACATTAATCAGCACAACTGCTTTCAACAAATAATACAAATATTTTTTTTTGCAAATAAACATATTAGAATGATGAGGGATCATGTGACACTGAAGACTGGAGTAATGATGCTGAAAAATTTGCAAAATAACATGTTTAAAAATATATTAAAATGGAAAACAGTGATCGTAATAATACTTACTGCTGTTACTGAATTTTAATCAAATAAATGTAATCTTGGTGAGCATAAAGCCCTAAACACACTGCACGATTTTCGGCTGTCCCAGACGAAATATTGGCATCGTGAAACAATCGTGGCGATTTCTGTAATCGTGGCTCTAATCGGTGCTCCTGTGTCGTACAGTGAGAGAGGTTCAAAGACGGTCGTTGTCACGGTCTTGTGACCAAAGACAGCCTACGATACAGAATGATCATCGCACAGTGTGTTTGCTGGTACGTTCCACGTTCACTGACCAACCAATAAAAATGCACACGAAATTAACGCGACATTGTGCTAAAACATAAAACTGCTTACCGCAAGCTCTTACCCCTTCCTCTTTCACCACTTTTTTTTCAGCACACATAAAAAATACAACTGCTAAAGTGTGATTTATCATGCTCTTTTTGATGACGTTTATTTTTCTATAGTAACGTGCGTCGTAGCGTACGAGTCAATAGGTGTCATCATCGTACAGTCTACACACGTCGTAGCCAAGTTTATTAGATCCATGTCGCACAGTGTGACATGCAGTGATCTTAAAGGGGTCATATGATGCGATTTCAATTTTTCCTTTCTCTTTGGAGTGTTACAAGCTCTTGGTGCATAAAGAAGATCTGTAAAGTTGTAAAGACTA